TCCTTGGCCTCCTCCTCATCATGGCTATAGAATACTGAGGAGGCAATTCTTACTAACATCTCAAGTGAGCTATCTGGGGTGAAAGCCATTCTTTGTAGCTATTTCTCTCCAGCTTCCCATTGTGTATTTGTTTATTCATTAAACTACTTTACACCCTAAAATGAGATTAAAGTTTTCTTAAGGACAGTTCTGTGGGCAAAAACTTTTAAGACTGTAAACTGATTTGACTAACAAAGTGTTTGGCACACACTACGTGCTCAGTAAAAAATATCTTGTTTACACTTTTATTGGCTTTTGATTATGCCAGCTTCTCATACACATGAAGCTAGATTATCAAAGACCCATATTAAGTACAATTATGAAGCAATTAAACAGATAATAACTTGATCTTTTCATAAAAACACATAAAACGTTTATTAATAAAATCTTTGAGAACTAGGTGTACGCCAACCATTAGACTAAACTTTTTTTTTTTAACTTTTTGTTTTTATAGTATTGTATTTGATCTTCACAAATTCTATAGATTTTATAATCATATTTCAATAGTACAACTAAAGAAACTGAGACTTAGACTGGTTAACTTCCCAACGGTTTTACTGCTGGGAGTGGTGGCAGAGCTGACATCTGAATCCAAACTGTTGGACTCCACAGACTAAGCCTTTAACCATTCTGTTTTCAACAGGCACCTTATTAAACCAGCAATGTGACAAGAATATTACACACCGTTAAGTGTACCCTATGTCCACGCTGTCAGGTAGGTACTTACTAGTATAAATTCTTTCTTTGCAGAATCATGAAAATGAAGTTCTGCAACTTCAGCTTCAGAAGCAATGAGCCACTGAAGAATAATCCTTAACTGGGGATCTATAATGCATGGCTCCATGTCAATATTCGTAATCAGCAAAGTCTTTTCATCTTGCTCCAAACCTAATAAATTTAAACAGTATGAAATGAAATTTAATTCAACTCTTAATACTCTGATTTCCATATATATATATATATATATATATAAAATATTCTTTGCCTTACATTCCAATGAATATTTTTCTTGACATATCATAACATCAACAAAAATATTCCTTCCAAAGAGGAAAAGAATGCTAAAACAAGGAATAACTTTGATCATTTACTGATAGCACAAATGTAAAATACTATTTTAAGACAATGAATTCAAATACTACTAATGCCATAATTTGGGTCGAATTAGGACCTACAAGGAAAAGGAGAGGACATCAAACTATAAAACTATCCTTAAAATCAAAATAAAAATGAAACACACAAATATATATTTCAAATAAAGAAAAGTGATAAGCACTTGTACAGCATATATTATATCTTAAGTATCAGTCTAGGCTTTTTACATATAAAAATTCCTTTAGCCCTCACAAGTACTCTATGAGCTATGAAGCAAACCAAGAGTTTACAGTAGGATTTGACTAAGACAAGCTATAAACAAAGTATATGGCTCCATGCTCTGAACCATTTCATTGTTCAAGCAAAACAGGAAAAATATACAACCATTTATATCCCAAAAGCCAGATCAGGAAATTCTCCAGTACAATTCTAATATAAAAAAGATGCTGTATATTTTATCGTTTAATGAGAATTCATTTTGACATAAAGAAAGATGTATCCCTGATGACTGTAAAACTAATGACTTGGGGACCAGTGTCATGTGTTAAACACTCTTGCTTACAGATGACTGAGCAATACTGACTGCTGAGACTGGAACACCCCTAACCTCATAAGAAGTGAGCATCAGGGGCACTGGCAGACATGCCAATCAATATTCATCAGTAATGGAAATGTTGTTAATGGATATTCCTGGTTTTCTGCTACACTCTGCAGGGTCTTCTGCATCACTACTAATCATTTTGTGCTGGTCCTTAATTATTAGTTTTAAAAAATTGGTCCATATTATTCTCTAAAAATAAATTTATTTCTCTTTCTTTCCTTCTCTCTAGTAACTCAATCAATAGTAGAACAAATAAACTACGGTACAAGACAAGGTTTCTGAGTCATTCTACAAATCCTACAGAATTGACGTTCCTAGTTAGGGCTCCCAGGTGCTTGGCCTGATGAAATGGCAAACAGCTCTCCTTACTTTTCAAGCACCTTTCTTTAAAGACCAGACTGACCAACAGTAAAAACAGAAGAGACTGATACTACATAATAATACCTATTTAAAAAGGGGAGAAAAGAAGCATTTATTGCCTTAAGATTTCCATAATCTTTACTCTTTCTGCAAATCCAGACCAATCTATCTTCTAATTTAAATATGAGAGTGGACTATTATTTTCTACATAATGAGATGCCTACAATTGAAAAGCTGAGTAATGTCATATATGCCTATCATTAACCTCCTAATTTCTGCCTACTCAGAAAAGATTTCAGATAGCCTGCCTAATGTCAAAAGAGAAATATTTTAAATGAATTTCTTATTTGTATTAACTAGTATCTTTTTTTCTCTTAATCATTCCTCAGCAAAGTAAGCTTAGCAATAATTATTAGTTCATTAGAGAAATACTTATCACATGCATTGGTACAATGGTAGCATCTGGGATAGCTCTGCTCACAGATATGAGAAGGGGAAAAGTACACAATTTTTAGGCAAAGTCAACACTTTCTTAGTGAACAACAACAACAAAACACGGAAAGTAAACATTACCTCGCTTATCACTAACTCTAAAAATACTGCTCTAATCTGACTCTATATTTGATAAGGAAAACAGCTCTGGCAGATTTATATGAAGAAGGTTTTCTCACAGAGACAAGAGACAAGAAGAGTATATTATAAGGCTAAAGATTTTTAGCTTAAAAATTGACACATGACTTCCCTAAATAAGGAATTCCAAGTGGTTAATAAAACTAGACTAGAAACTCAGGTGTCATAAGTACTTTTCAAGAAATTCTTTTCAGCATTTGCTCCATTTGCCTACTTCTGAAGAACAAAAACTTCACTGGTCCGAAACCAAGTATCTCAACCAGTGAAAATATTCTTTTTTATTTACATTGCTACTCTATAGATGTTACTAGCATTTTCATAATGAAGAAAAATTAAATTACGGGGGAAAATTCAACAATTATCTGAATATAATTACAACTCAACTTCAATATGAAAAGTTCCTAGACTCAATTAGATATTCTAATATATGAATTAGGGATTACAAACCATGGTCTGAAACTGAACAATGATATCTAGTAGCAACCTATTTAGAACTATGCTCATTAAAGAAAATTTTGAGTATTTTCTTTAAATAAATGTATGTATGACTTCAGGTTGGAATTGGAGGAGGGAAGACTGTGGAAGGATCTTTAAAAAATCTTTTTATTTTTACTTACTGATTTCTGTAAGTGTGATAACATGAAATACTAAATTTAGAAGTTACCAGATTAGAAGGAAAATATTATGAGAGTAATATGCCATAATTATAATAAATTATATCTTATAACGACTAAGGATTTTATATTTTTAAAAGATGATTATGAAAGAACCATACATTTCTCAAATAATTGAATAATCTTTTAAAATGTTTTAGTCTTTACACTAATGAGTACCTCACCAGTGTGGCAATCAAGTAATACAAACTGCTCAACGGAGACCTCAAACTGGCCCAAACTACAAGAAGAATACCCTGACTTGCCATGTTTTACACAAAAAACCTAGGGACTATTTGATGAATATGCACAAATACAAACCATAAAGACTGTTCCTGAGAACCTTATAGTAAAAACACTTTGAAAAACAAATTGTCACTAACCTCCTATATCATCCTCATGCTCTTCATCTTTATCATCCGATTCATCACTTCTTGAAGAAAACAGAAGTAGTTTTTAAAAAACAAAAGAGCTTAATTAATAATGTATTAAAGCTACTCCTTAAAAATGCAGTTAAGGAATGAATGTTACAATGTGACATGACATTAAGAAAGGGTAGAAATGACAATAAGGAAGCTTTGCTTCTCACATCATTTCATGTTAAAAACTGCACTGCACATAATAGAGAGCTCCCAGTCACCAGTACGTCCCACTTCACTCTACTCAGAGCCAAGTAATTTCTTATAAAAGTCAATTTCAAATAATTTAAAGTTTAACTATTGTAATTTGACTTTAGATAATAGAATATATGAACATCACAGAACGTAATTCTGTTGATGCCATTTCTTTTTAAACAGTTAAAAACATTTTTCTATACTTTTCTTGTATATAAAACAAAACTACATACACAAACAAAATTTTTAAAAAACCAGAAATCCTGTAGGAAGCAAGCTCTTTTAATGAAATAATAATTGGAAGAATGAAAATAGCAAGCAGAGCAACCCATGCATAACAGCACACATTTTGCAATTAGATGTCAGTCATATCTTAGCACAGTTGAATTTTTTCATTAGATGTAAATTTAACAAGCAGAATCGTGTCAAAATACAGGAGAAAAGCAGATTGATACATATTGGCACTGTAACCCACATTTTCTTAAGAATATGACATCATGCATTAGTGGTGAAAGACTCATCAGCTTTTAACTTTCCAGGTTGAACCAACCTGTCTGATGTTGGAAAGGATAAATTGTCCTCATACAAATCTCCTTCTAAACCAAGACTGCTCCAGCTACTGCTGTTACCATTACTGCTGGAGGAAGAAAAGAACAGAGCTGAACTAGAAAATGAAGAGCAAAACCACCTTTGTTTTCCTGGGAACAGCTTCTGTCCTTGGTAACTGCAAATCCTGAAGCTGCCACAATAAGGGAGGCATCCATGAAGGGGATGAGATCATTACTAACAGGAGTACTTGTTTTGGTCAGAGGCTGGGGAATTTTTTTCCTCTGTCCCCAATACATCATGAAAATTATTCTAAAATTACATTTACTTTATATATTAAGAAAACAATGGTTCTTTTTAGGACACAAAATAAATTTATGATGAAATTAACATCTTATAGCAAATTTTAGGATATAATTTGTTACAAGATTTCATTTTGGATAAAATTTAAAAAGGAAAATATAGTTTAAGACTCTCAGGTTTTCAAATACTGCAAAACAGGGTGAGGAGTGTGGGGAAGATCCAATGGAAATACCAAAACACAGTCTCAAATCTCGCTTTTGATTTTTAAAATACTCTTATTATGCCAATTACCTTTATTTCATAACTTATGTGTAAAATGGTAGGTGGCAAATAACATATTCTCTTCAGAATACAGCTGGAATAAACAAGGTCCTGTTGGTGAGTCACTAGCGCCACACACAGGTAGCTTCTTACATTACCTAACTCAAGGAAGAAGAAAGCAACTATATTCTATAACAGCAGCAAAGCAACTTTTTTTTTAAAAAAAGCAACCTTTTTCAGAAACAAATTCAATTTTTCAGAGTAAAACTTTCAACATGCAATTTTTTAAAGATTCTAATCATTCCTAATTATTAAAATAATTAGTAAGCCATTAGTTTGCAGTGATAAGCAGCTATGTTTCCAATATCAGGCTAGGGGGCTATAAAAATTAATATTTACACAAACTAAAATTTTGGTTCTAAAAAATGAATTAGTCATTTCTTGTACATCAGTAAATGTTGACAAGGTTACAAAAAAAGGGTGGCTAAAGTATAATTTACCTATCCATATTCACTTTAACACTATTAAACTGCCATAAACAGTAATGTATTAGAGAATACAATTTAAAACTGAAGTTTTTTTTTCAATGTAAGTTCAACCAAATATAGATCAATTATAAAACCATTTAAACCAGAGTTTTAATGCAGTCTTGTCAAACTAAAAATGAGAAAATACAGAAATATAGAATGATCAGACAGCTATCAGCCGAAGAGAAATAGGAAAATAATGATCTCAAACACTGCAGCTACTTTTATTAATAAACTAGTTATCTAAACAAAAATCACAAAGTTGAAATCTTACCTGTCCTAATGAGTCCTGCATTAATAACAAATCCATCACCTAAGTATTAGATGAACCACAAAAATAATAGCTAAACAATGTAAAGATTAAAATTTCAAATTCCCTAACTTCATTTCCTCTTTCTCCCTGCACCTAAAAAATAGGTCAGATACTTTTTGGTACTGGGAATCGAAATCAAGACCTCACATTTGCCAGGCAAGTGCTGTGTTGCTGAGCTATATCCCTGGCCCCAAACAGGTCAGATTTAAAGTCAGTTATTTATAAAATACTACTTGTAATTAGGGTGACCATGTAATTTTTCATCTAACCAGGATACTTTTCAAAATGAAATGAAGTCACAATAATTATACCAGAGCAGCACAAGTAAATCAGTACTATCCTGAATAAACTGCAAGATATATTAACCCCAACATTTTAAAAAAAAACTTTTTTTTTTTTTTTGTTTTTGGTTTTTCTCCGGTATTGGGAACCGAACTCACGACCTTGTGCTTGCCAGGCAGGCGCTTTGCAGCTGAGCTAAATCCCCAGCCCCTTAAAAAAAATCTTAATTTCTTGACTAAGAAACATTCTATTTCATTCTTATTTATTTATTTTTATTAAATTTTTTTTGGCACCAGGAATCGAACTCATGACCTTGCGCTTGCCAGACAGGCGCTGTGCCACTGAGCTATCTCCTTGGCCCTCACGCATTCTTGAAACATTGTTCTGCTTCCATCATTTTATGTTTTTTCATATTCTCTATGTCTAGAATAGTTATATCTTGAAACTAGTGGTAGTCAAGTACTAAAATCCTTTATCTTGCCTGTTAGCCATATGAAGATTACTATCAATTCTGACACATCTCCTAAGAATTATCTCAAGAATTCTACAAGTCTGGCCTCATCTCTTACTTAATACATAGCTTCTGTAGAGATTCATAAACCACTTGAAATATTTAAGAGATTAACTATACATAGGCTATTCTCTTTCTGATCAAGTAATTATACAGCTCTGTGAAAATCTAAACTCGTTTTTAAAACTGTCATCTTCTACTTCAATCCCTTACGGTAAAAGTGCAAGGTGTCATCTGCCATGAAGCTCTCTTTAACAGATAAGAACAGTACCTACAAGGGGCTGGGGATTTAGCTCAGTGGCAAAGTGCCTGCCTGGCAAGCGCAAGGTCGTGAGTTCGGTTCCCGGTACTGGAGAAAAACCAAAAAAAAAAAAAAAAAAAAGAACAGTACCTACAGCAAACGTCACCAAAAGATGTAACATGTAAAACAACCTATCTCAAGGGTACCCTCCAAACACCTACTCTTTAATGATCTAAGGTGGGTTTTCAGGACCCTCCACTGTTACTGAATCAGTATCTCTGGAGGTGAGGCTCTGGAAACCCTATGTTCAACAACTGCACCACCAACCTAGGATGAACCTGCTGTCTTGTTCTTTGTGCCTGAACCTTAATCCACACAAAAATGCTAGTTCCTATTAAGACTATGGTCAGTTGAAACAGGTGTTTTTCTGACAAGAAGCTACTGAGCCAGCTTTGCAACCTAAATGCTTTTACTCATATTAAATATAATTATTTTAGCCTCAGCTTGATTTGGTCTTGGTTTTGTTAATGAGACTAATTTTCAGCGTTGTTTCTGAGTTAGTCACAAGTAAATATTTTCTTAATACTGCTTTAAAAATGCTGAGGACAGAACAAAAGAACCTAATAGACTGCTCTATTACTCTCATCAAATTAGCTAACACCTCGGCAGGGTGTTCAACTGACTCCAAGTCCTTTTAGGACCACTGGCCCCTACATAGTTCTCCTATTTTATTTTATTTTATTTTATTTATTTATTTTATTTAATTTAATTTTTTTTATGTTATGTTATGTTATGTTATGTTTTGTTTTGTTTTGTTTTGTTTTGTTTTGTTTTGTTTTGTTTTCCGGTACTGGGAATCAAACTCAGGACCTCGTGCTTGCCAGGCAGGTGCTGTGCCGCTGAGCTAAGTCCCCAGCCCCAGTTCTCCTATTTTAATACCGGATTTCCTAAGCAACAATGTCACCTTTCACTGAAATCCCAGAACCTTATGTTTCTCAAGGATGAGAGAACAAAATTAAATGTTAGCATTCTATTCTAGATGAAATTATGGAAAAGGACCAAATTATAATCTGTGACATGGCCCCACTTGCTTCTACCATTTTTAAAGACTATTTTTTAGAACTAGATTTTAAGAAATACTAGCATTTTTCTAAGAATTATAACAAATTATGACACAATACATCCTTTATGAAAGTATTAATACTGGCTAATCCAAGCATCAGGCAAAACACTCTTGAAATAAAGTATTCTAACACAGGAAAGGCTATGTGCTTTCCTTATGCATCCTTCTGCCCTCTTCCAACAGCCTCTTCCTTCTCCCTGGTAAGCCAATTCCAAAGGCTCGGTTCAATCGAAGTCCCTTTCCACTTACACCTCAAACCAGAAGTAAGCCAAGAACTCCTTACCCTCCCCTGACTTAGCTATGGATGATACCTACTATTTTCAATTATTAGCTGAAGTGGATAAAAATTTTATGGGAATTTATAGGTCAATCATGAATGCCTTTAGTTTGGGATAATGTAAGAAACAAACACTTTGTCATAATTAGTAACATATTTCAAAGATACTGTTATGAACGAAGTTAACTAAGAAAGGCTATATATATGAGTTAAATGTCTTCTGGTATTAAAAATCATATTTTTATAATAACTTTGATTTATGTATTTTTAAATCTTTCAAGTGCATATAAATGCTCCAGTTTACTTTGTTTCTAACAGCAATGCAAAGGCCCTTTCCTTCCCCTCCACAAAACACTACTTCATTATCAAGAAGAACCACATAGCTATTTTGATCCCTGTTACAGACACCTGTCCTTTTTCCTATCCTCTAATGAAAACAAAAAAAAAAAGCCCTCTCTAAAGTTTCTAAAAACAACATGTTTGTGAAAAGCTCAGGAAAGGGGCCAAGGATATAGCTCAGAGGCACAGTGCCTGCCTGGCAAGCACAAGGTCATGAGTTCGATTTCTGGTACCAAAAAAAAAAAAAAAAAAAAAAAAATCAGAAAAGCTCAGGAAAGGCTTAAAAGATGGGTGAAAAAAAACCACCTACAATATTTCTCAAATCAATTACTGGTACACCCGAACAAAATTAGCTCAGCTAACTACTGCATGAAATAACTGTCCAAACCATTAAAAATGCATTGTGAATAAAATATACTTTGATTTCCAAATTTAGGAATTTCAAATAATACTCAATGTAAATGTACAGCTCACTTCTGAGGTCTGAAGACCTACACTACAGAATTATATACACAGCTATAGTTACCTTTCACTTAGGTGATGAAAACTGCTGCTTTCATCTTGGTGTTCATCCTCAAAACTTAAATTGGACCAGCTACCAGTGCTGTCCTCACCAATACTGAGATTCAGCTGCTGGCTACCAAGTGACTCAGTTGACTGAGCATCTTCTCCTTCCTTTGAACTAAGACAAAAATAAATAAATAAATAAAATAAATCATACCAGAAGCATCATACATTCTAAGTTATTTGACTACTGAGATGATAATAAGTATGACAAAAGTTATATTCAGAGTTACATCAGTGGTCTCAAACACTTCATTTTATCTGCTAATAACCAGACCATGTTAATTTCAAAGCTAACTGAGGTATCTAAGAGTCTACTATAGTTCCACCCCACTGCATCATTTATTAAATTCTGTTTAAAATAGTTCATACTTTCAACTGAGACACTTTAAGGAAATAATCATTCCACAGTTTAATCATCTGCTTTGTAAAACAATATTTTTATCTGTAGTAAAGGAACTCTTTCTGGCTTTAAGAACAAAAACAACAAAAAAGTAGTTCAGAAATTCTAGCAGTGTCAATCAGGCCTATATTCAAAACTAGCCTAATCTCTTCAGGATTCTGAGCATGGATCACACCCCTTTCACTCTTTTTCTAATGAAGAGACATTTATATATGTACTTCTTTATCACAGAAAACTGCATTCATTGCTCATCTACTGTAAGTGCCATTTTTACATATTATTTTCAACAAAGTAGTCTAAAGTAATGTTTTTAAAATACAAGTCTTCCCATCAAAAACTTCCACGGCTTCTCACCTATGAGAATTAGAGCCCAAGTTCTTAAAACAAACTGGCTAGTCCCAAATCATGATGTCTACTTTATCACCTACCACTTTCCCTGGCTGGTTCCACTTCAGCAGTACAGTCCTCTCTGCTGTTTGGCAGATATTATGCACAGTCCCACCTCTTCACCTGGAATCTGTCTTCCTCTGATTCCTACATGACCACCTTTGGCTCTGGGCTCAAACATTACTTTGCTAACACTGCCTCCACTGCTACCTATTCAAAGCTACAAACAAACTATGGCCACACTCCACCGTCACCAGTGTTCTCCAAATCCAGTTTTATTTTTCCCCCAAGGCACTGAACTTTAAGGAGACACACGATCCATTTTACTTACCTAGTGTCTGTCTTATTCCACTCTAACATAAGCTCTAAGAGAACATAGATTTTTGCTTGTTTTCTTTTCATTGACATCCCCAATATCTACAATAGCACCTGAAAGCTCTTCTTTTGTATTTAAGATACACCAACATGAATTATATAATGCAGTCCAAGGATGGACACGCTACATATAGTGCTGAACAATACTTTGTTCTTCTTCAACACTTCTCCTCGTATGTGCCACAGTGTAAAGAAAATGACCAACAGGATGTTGTCCAGAGAAGTTTTTAATGCCTATTAGGTGATTTTTGAAAGAACAACTTAGAATATAGCCTAGATCAGTGGTGGCAAACCTATGGCATGCATGTTTCATGTTTTTAGGACAAAAGATATTAATGTATGAGTTTTCTTCTAAACTAAAACCTCAGTTTTCAGGTTTAATTGCAGTGCTGGAACTTTGCAATAAGTAAGTGGGTATTGGGTTTGAGTTTGGATACTCATCTCTAAAAGGTTTGCCATTACTGGCCTAGATGTTTTGTTTTTCTTAAAAACCACCATCATATAGTTTCTCATTTGACATTCAGTTACAAGCCTGGTGAATATGACAACTTTGTGATGCATTTATGGTTAGCTTCATGAATCAAGCTTTTATGAGAAAAGGGACACTAGAATCCAAATATCTTAGAAAATAATCCATTTGAATGAATCTCCCTTCAAGTCTAAAAGACAATTTTCACTTCAGAAAGTGTGAAACAGTACACCATATATATCAAAGTCAATTCTTACTTGGTATGTCAACTTTACTGGGTTAAAAAACACTTAACAGATTAGTAAAGTATACTTTTGGTGTCTTGGTAAATCATGGAGGCATGACCTTGGGTACTAAATATGGTTGTGAATCTTTCACCTCTGGCACTGTTCTCCTGCACTGCTTCCTGGCCTCCCTTAACTGACAGCTTTGCTCCACCATGATGTTCTGCCATGACATTTCTGCCTTGGAGCCAGCCAACCATGGACTGAATCTTCTGAGACAGTGTACCAAATTAAAACTTTTCTCCTTTAAATTGAAAGTGTCCAAAAACAGTAATGTAGTTTTCTAGTTACAGAAAACTGTTAACAAAGAAGTGGGGTCATTGCGGTGACTGTGCCTCATCATATGGTTTAGAAGCCCTATGGAACTGGTTTCCTAGAAGACTTTGCAAAGAATTGGAGATGTAGGCAAGGGAAGCTTTAGAATGTAAAAAGCAGAGTCTGATGGGTAATTCTGGTCAGAGCTCAAAAGACCAGAATACTGGTAAGAATGCACACAGGAAAAGCCAGGCTTGGGAGGTTTCAGTTGGAAACAAGGATTCCACTGGAATTAGGACTAAAGATTATGTGTGTTACACTCTGGCCGAAAACTTGTCTAATTTTTTCCCATGTCCTGAGACTTTGCAGGAGAAAAAATTAAGGATGGTGACTAATTAACCTGGTGGAGAAAATGTCAATTCAGCTCAACATTCAGGCTATCACACAGGTACTGCTGGCTGCTTTTAGCCAGATTTATAATGTGAATCAGGGGCCAAAAGCAGAGCAGAAAAACTGGAAAAACTTAAATTAAGGACCAGATGGAACCTATAAAACTGGGGCCAAAGGAGGTATGGCTGCTAAAAAGATCAGAACCATTTAAAAGAAACCAAGTACTTTGTGCCGGGAGCAAGAAGAAAGATGCTGCTTAAGGGCATCTCAGGGATCAACAAGAGTTCACCTACTACAGACTCAAGGGTATAAAAGTGTCACTCTTTCCCTTGAGAAGGAAGACCCTGGACCCCTGCTTAAGAAGGGCATGTGTTCAACTATCCAGGCACTCAGGCAGTTGTAGCCAGGGTTCAAGGGGGCCTGACTATTGCTTCCACTGATAGCAGACCTTGGTGTTTGTTGGTCACATGATGCTGGTTTTACTGGCATGCAAAATGCAAGAGCGATGGGATCAGAAAAGCTTCCATCCAGATTTCAAAGTAGAGTTTAGAAGCCCGGGCAAGGAGTGCTCCAGGACAGTGGATGAAGCCATGAAAATAAACACAAACGTACAATGGAGACCTCAGGAGTTTGTGGCAATTCAAGAGATATGGAATGTCATGAAGAAAAGTTGCAGCCAAGAAAGGAGTCAGCCCATGAGAGGTCAGGTGAGCTGCAACCAGTTATAGGCCCCAAGGAACCCACATCATCACCCTATGCCCCATATACCAGACAAAGAGCCTAAGACTTAATGTTTGCCCTGCTGGGTTTCAGTCTTGTTTCAATCTGATTCTTTTTATCCCCTTATTTCTCTTTCAGAATAGAAATGTTTAATCTGTGCCACTACACCTTGAGATTATATAACCTGCTTTTGAATTTTACAAAGTTTGGCAATTGAAGAGTTTGCCTTAAAAACAAAACAAAACAAAGTTTGCCTTGAGGTTCAAAGGAGATGGAATTTTGAAAAATGCCAGAGACTTTGAAGAACAGATTACTGTTTCCAGTTCTACATGGACAGCTGTATTATGTTAGGCAAAAATATGAACTTACTATTATCTTTATTTGAAGAATAAATATGGCTTAACAAGATATGCTTGGGTGTGAAGTTGACATGGGGTAGGTTTTGATAATTAATCCTTATATGTCTACTTCATTGGATTAAGAAACACACAGCACATTAGTAAAGCATCTGGATATCTGAGTGGGTCATGAAGGCATGGTATGGTACTACACAGTGGTACCTCAGTTCAAAAACTTTTCTGTTTGCAAACAATTTACTCACAAGCTCTGCATCAGGAAACAAACACGAACATGGCCCCCTTTTCCAAATCATAGAAAAAAATTAAATTCATGAACCAAGGTACCACTGTATATGGTCCCTAGCTCCTTCCTCTCAGGCACTATGCCTCTGCTCTATTTCCTGGACACTATGAACTGAGAAAGTCTGTTCCACCATGGTCTTCTATTACAATACTTCTACCTTGCAAGAAGATGACCATGCGCTGAATTCTCTGAGACGGAGAGCCAAATTAAACCTGTCTTCCTTTAGGCTGTACATGTCAGGCATTGTATCTAGCAGCAGGAAAGCTCGCTAACACAAGCACTTACAACACTGAAACAATTATTAAGAAAAGAGAAGCCAAGTGGGGTGGCACATGCCTGTAATTCAGCACCTCAGGAGACTGAGGCAAGAGGATCATGAGTTTGAGACCAGCACTTACTGAGACTCTATCTCAAAACAAAATAATGAGACTCTATCTCAAAATAAAATAAGGGCCAGGGATACAGTTCAGTGGGATAGTGCATGCCTAGCACACAAGGCCCTGAGTTCTATCCCTACCACTGTGGGGAAAAAAAGAACATAAAAGAAACAGGGAAAGAATTACAGGGTAATACTCTTTGTAAATACTAGTCTGGAAAAAAGCTGGCTTACCACAAGAACTCAAAGGGTAACTATCTATTACAAACAGCTCTAAAAAAGAAAAGTGGGTATACTGAGGAATAAATAGCAAAAGTATTGGCTATATTTGCCTGGTCTTGGAAGTGATGTCTTACAAACTTCAGAGTTTTTCTCCCTTGATAAGGGAAAGAGGTTGGAGATAAAACAACCTGAGGCCACTGTATGAAGAAACTTGCTTCAATTTTTTTTTAAAGGGCCTAGCTTACTATCCTTACTCATTTTTAAATAGTTATTAGCCACAAACTAAATCATAAGTAATTGTGAACAAAATAAACAAACCGTGGGTCTGATATAGGTTCATAAACTTTCTCTATAAAGGGCCAGATAGTAAATCCTTAGGTGTTTCCAGCTTTTCACCTCTATCATCATGGTGCAAGAAAAGCCACAAAAAATACGTAAATGAATGAACACAGCTGCGTTCCAATAAATTTTATTAAGACTGAAATGAATTTCATGTAATTTTCATATGTTACAAATGTTATTTTCTCAACCATTAAAAAGGCATAAAAAATATTTTGAGCTTGCAGGCCACACAAAATCAAGAAGTGGGCCACAAATGAGCTCAGAGATCATAACTTCCAGGCTCTAACCTACAGGAATGGCAGCCTGCTAATGAAGTCAAACCCACAGCCCCTCTTGTCCTAAAAGAATTCTAAGAATAACTGGATAAAAGAGTTCTCAACAAATGACATCGCCCTCTTTAAGGACGGCTTTATCAAAATGTGGCAGGCTTTGTCAGAGTTTTGACTGAAGCTGAGTACTCAAAACTCTAGGGTATCATGTGACTCAACTAAGAACCATCTCACTCAATATATTCTTTCTTTCCCTTGGGACTTACAGATATAATCCTACAGACTAATAACATGGAATGGCCCTGATATTTTCTCAGATAGAAAAAGGTTAAAAATGAAAATGTTAACTAAGTTGTTACACTCACTGAGCAAAAGAAACAGAAACTGAAGAACAAGATACAATGGAACAACCAGGTGCTGGCGCTGATGTTAGTACATACAGAATATTTGTTTTCTTCCTCAGAGTAACATAATTACACCAAGCTCTTTGTAAGAACACTTCCCTTTGTAAACAGGAAAAAGAAAACTATAAAAATTTAATCTCAGAGTAGAAAATTAGTAATAGCGTACATTTGCTGTATAAAATTCTCCAGCTGTTGGCCAGGCATAGTGGTGCACACTGGTAATCCTCACACTTTGAGAGACTGAGGTAAGAGGATCATAAATTAAAGCCTAGTCAGGGCAACTTAGTGAGACCATGTCTCAAAACATTAGACAAGCGCTTGAGATGTAATTTAGTGTAAAGGTCCTGGGTTCAATCCCCAGTATCAAAAATATATAAATAAATGCATGATACCTTCACTCAGAAGATACTCGAGACAAAACACATGAAAATCACACGTATAGAAAGAAGGGAAAAAGATAGCTAAGATAATTGTGGTACTAGTTTCTAAGGCTTTATGGAAAGAAACACAAAGTTTTAATTGTTTGATCAATCTTATGTGCCTACATTTGTTTAACTGAGTAACCAATTTGAAGATAACAATATGTAATATAACCACTGTTAATTTCCTATCACCTTGTTTGAAATTCTGTAGTGCTTTTTTTCTTCTAGGTTTTTTTTTTATTCTGTTACCAGGAATTGAACTCACGACGTTGCACTTGCCAGGCAGGCGCTGTGCCGCTAAGCTAAATCCCCAGCCCTGAAATTCTGTAGTGCTTTTATTGTTTTGCTTATGTCTGTGTATGTGTTAATGTGTTCGTTCTTTTATCTTTAAAATATAAAGAAAATCACATGTAGGATATGAAACCATAGAAAAATGCTGTATGAAAACATTGAGTTTAAAAAAATTGTACATTTGTGAATAGCACTTTAGACACACATAAGCAAGTTAAACTTTTCATTTGAGCATTAAGACCATCCAAAACTTTGAAACTTACCTGCTCACAGCATGTCCAACACTGGTCATGGCTGATGTCATTATTTCTGTGGTAAGGCTTTCAGCAAAACTAATGCCATCTTGTCCAATTCCACTATCAGCTGCCAAACTGGTATTGCTCAGCTCTCTCTCTGCTCTTTCAATGGCTTCAGCTACTATCTTCTCAGCAAGTAATGACTTTTTATCAAGATTTACATGAATTTGAGGGACATCGAGATGAAAAATTCTAGATTTCTGATAGATGTTGCTAAAGTTTGAATTCGTAATGAGTTTACTACTAACACGTGAATCCTGTTTGAAAAAGTGCTGAGATGAATTTCCAGTACAATCATGGAGCTCCTTAAGGTCACAATATCTGCAATTCTGATTTATAAGCGGTGACAACTTTTCTGCATAAGTGATTCTATCTACTGATTTTGTGGTCTCAGATGCTTGGAAAACTTTGGATCCTAGACCTAACTCTAAAGTGTCATCCACTACTTTTTTAGCATACTGTTCTATAGTTTGAACAATATTCTCTCCACCGCCATGTCTATTTAAGCTGCCTGTACTGTGGTGAAATCCTTGATTTTGTGAGAAAGGCTCAAGAGGCTTAAAAAATTCTGGTTCTGTGTGACACTCAGTATCTTCAACATATCCAGATTTTTCAAAAGGGCAGGACTCTGTTAAGGATTTTGGCAAGTCAACTTTAGGTGCTGTCAGCTCCTTTTTAACATCTCTTGTTATGCAGTGAGCAAGGGAGGCTGAAAAACTATATAGGTGAGAGTCCTCATTTCTCCATTCATCTTTTGCCCTTTCGCAAGTTTGACTTGGACAAAGGTGACCTCCACTTCTTTTTCTTTCACTTTTTTCCCCTTCTTCTTGGTGGTGGTCTTTGTTTGAGAACATTAACAGTTCATTATTTATTTTCATTTGTGCACTTTGCACAGGGAACATTTTCGAGTTGCTCTGCATTTTGGCTGCCTTAGCTGCTTCTTGTAAACCTGACTTAACAGACCGATAAGCAAGTCTACTGGCATACTGGTCCATTATTAACTCACTATTACCACCTTCCTGTTTTAATATTTGGATAACATGGCCTGCATATTCATCTGTCACACTTTCACAGCTGGGATACTTGTATGTCAAACCTGACATACAAGAACTTGGTAGTACTGAAAGAGTAAATGGATCCACTTCTCTTGGATACATTACAATCTCCCTATCCAACTTCTCTTCTGATCTATAATCTTGGTCCCCATCAACAAAACAAAGATTCTTCTTTTGCTTACTAAGTACAGAACTTCTAGTTTCTGCTACTTTCTCAGCTTCTGCAATGATTTCTGCTGCCATATCAGCTGCAAAACTACCTGTCTGAAAATTTTCAACAGATTGACTTGAAAAAGTGGGCAATATTCTTCCTTGACTTTGCACATTGAAGCAAGGTTTTCGAACCTCAGATTCTTGTACCATTTTATGATCTAAATGGGAGGCTGCCATTTCAGTTGCAAAAGAAATTATATGTGTAGCTAACACTTCTGCAAACTGCACTTTCTTCCCTGAGTGCTCTGGCTTCACATCCATTTCTGGATGCTCTTCACCTTCACTACCTTCAACTTCTTCTGAAAGAGAGCGCATGAGTTTCAACATGAACTCTTCCTTTTCTATAGTATTCTGTTCATTTTCAGACAAATTACCAACGGATGCGTTGTGCGGCGTAGACGGCGGTGTAGCAGGTGCAAATTCTTTAGCTAATTCCCCTTTGAGCTTTTTGGTTAACTTCTTGATATCCCATTCAGAACTAGCTTGGGATGGAACTAAAGGAGTTGACGGAGGAGTGTCAGGTATTACATTTCTGTCTCTGATTTTCTGTTTATCTTCCACATGCAAACTATCTACACAGGCAAGCACTGTCGAGGAGAAAGTACGTGAGTGACTGAAAGGGCTCTCCTGTCCAAAAGATAAGGGCTCAAGTGCTGTATCATTCAAATTATGCTTTTTCAATGGTTTATCCTTAGCAACTTCATTCAGATCAGGTTTCTGACTTGCCACCACTGGACAAAGTGGTAGTGTCTCTAAGGAAATTCTATAAACCATCGAATCTTTACATTCTGGAACATAATCCTTTCTCATAGAACGTGAACAGCAAGGTAAGTGATCTTGAGCATCAAGAAATTTGGCGAACTTTTCCGAAGTCAACTTTGATTCCTCTCCAGCAACAGGTAAGCCTTCCTTAGGTACTATATTTGTATCTGAAGTTGAGATCATTAATTTGCTTGCATCTATGGAATCTTTAATAACAGATTTAGATAACAGTTCAGCAAAAATGTCCTTATTGCTAGCTTCCCCCTGTTGTGGTTCTACTTGACAGGAAGGAGAGATATGTTCCTTCACTGTTTTAGTTAAATAATCAGTTTGTTCATCAGCTGTTTTTGTAACTCTGAATGGTGTCACTGACTCTAAAGTTTCATTTACTATAGTATGCACCATTGCTGCAGAAAAGTTACTAATTCCACTAGCTAATTTTGAAGAACTTTGAATTTCAATATCATTACTGGTTGGTTTACAATCATTCTGGCTATCCAGACTGTGTTCTGAAGGTAAACAAATGTTTCTGAGACAAGCTACTTCCTCTTCATTTTTTGTGGTAACATGTGCTTGGGTAGACTCACCATTTGGATTACTGTCATCAAGTGACAGATGAGAATTTGTCTGACATATGGTAGAGAAAATATGATATGGGAGAAGGGCACTTCCTGCCAACGGTACTGGAATAGAAGTGACAATTCCTGAAGTACAAAACAAGGCCTGTTGCACAGTGTATTCCTTTTTATATTCCTGCATTGGTTTTGTCACCATAATTGCTTGATTGTTAAAAGAGGGAGAAAATGTGAAAGTCTGTACAGGTGGCGCTACACTTTCTGCATTCACATACTTGATATTATCTGTAGAAACACTAACTGCTGCCTTTGTCGTGAAAGGCACATCAACTTGTGATAGCTCAATGAATGCTTCCTGTATTACAGACTCAGACAAATCTTTTGCATATGACTTCACTACTTTATCTTCAAAATCAAATGACTGACACTGTGGCAATAGAGGTGTTGAAGGATATGAAAACTGGCACACTTCCATGATGCCTTCAAAAACAAGCTCTTCAGCAAGATCTGCAGCAAACCTAGCAACTGTGTTTGTAAATATCTGCTTTTTTATATACTGTAAATCTTTTAAGGCATGTGATAAGGCTTCACTCACCAAAAAATTAGCCAGGCCACTAATGGCACGTTGTTTTAGTGAAAATGCACGCTGCCTTCTCAGTTCATTAAACGCCATCTGAAAGACAGATGATGTCAATTTGACGGCTAAGTGGCACAATGCATTGGTGCATGAAGAGACTCCTTTCTGTAAGTCTTTAAATGCACTGCCAAAACCTTTTTCCACGAGATCTGTGGCAAATTTCTGAATGCTATCTTTAATCATTAAAGATTTACTTTTACTTTTTTGATCAAGGTTTCCATGCTTAAAATCCTCGGTTTTATTTTCTCCTCTTTTAATACTATTAATGTTTGACATTTCATTAGTATGTTGGTTATGAAGAACTGACTCTAGCACTTCACATGAAATGCTATTTGCATAATCTTCATAGGTATAATAAACAGAATCATGAGTCTGGTTTCCACCAATATCCGTTTGGCAAAAGCATTCAGCAGGAGTACAGCTTCCAAGAGGACTAAAAGCAGAGGATCGAATAGGGCTAAACAAACCACTGTCATCCCCTGATGCCTTTACTGGACGAGGAGAATCTGGAGCATCACACAGGTTGCTATACGGAGATTCTGGCTTTCGAGGAGTTGGCTTTTTAACATTAGCTGGAAGAACTGGGCAATCAGACTTGAATTTTTGAGGATTCATACAAGATTTTTCATGTTTGTGCCCCTTCTTTCGTGAGGACTTCTCTTGAACAGGATCATTTATAAACAGGCAAGAAGTCTCTGAAGTTTGTTCTAGTTCATCAAACTGATCAAAACTATCAAAAAATTCACTTACTTCTGAGTCTGAATCTTCTACATCATCTTTCATCACAGGAATTTTAGGCAGCTCAAGTTTTGCTTTTAAACTTTTCTGATACCCTTCTTCATCCAAGAAAATAACAGGACTTGGACTTGAGCATTCTGATTCCGAAGAGTAGGCAGGAGAAGAAGAACAAAAGGTTTTCTGTGCATCACCATCTTTGTCTGAAGCATTAGATGACCTATAGAAACTCCTCTGGATCCAAGGCTCTGAAATTGAAGTTGTGACTGAAGTTTTCACAGAATGTGGTTCATTATGTCCAAGAACATTTATTAGGGGAGATGAGGGCTTAGCCAATGTCTTCTGCTGTCCAGAGCTGACTAAAATCTTCTTTAAATCATGGATTTCCAAATGGTGACCACAAATAGTCTGAGAAGCCACATCACACTGGCTCCGTAGTGTAGTGTTTATTCCTATAGCAGAATATTAAAATGGTTAAATTACTCCAGAACAGACCTTTTAAAAATTTAAGTCAACAGAATAAATTATCCAATCTTTATTTATAATAAATCTTCTATACTACATTGTTTAAGAGAAAGACTCACCCCAAGTAACACTTAAAAAACAACACATCTTTTACTGAAATAATATCATTTTACACCATGTCTAGGGACACCTAGTGTTGGAATGCTTAGCTTGTCATGCATGTTAGAAACACTACAATAGTGACTCTGGCAGTTCATTCTTCTGAAATTTGTACCTAGATAGGTTCTGAACTTCAGGTGATAAGGTAAACAAAGCTTGAACAGTACCACCTAAATAACAAAAGTAGTAAAACTAAAAACCAGGTCATGATGAAGCTAAAAATCACAGGCAAACTCCTCTGCTACCATAAAAAAGGTTAAAACCTTTAAACTGGGTAAAATTTCAACATAAATTTCAAGGGAACAAGTCTCCCTTATAACTTTCAAAAGTGAACTTTCGGGGCTGGGGATTTAGCTCAGCAGCAAAGCGCCTGCCTGGCAAGCGCAAGGTCATGAATTCGATTCCTGGTACTGGAAGAAAAAGACAAAAGACAAAAAAAAAAAATCAAAAGTGAACTTTCAACTTTCCAGAAATATGAGATCTCTAGGGGAAGAGTCTAGTAAGAAAACAAAAACAAACCATCATATGGCTTTGAAGCCTCCTCTTCTTCCAACTGCTCAAAAGCAGTGACAAAGTCATCCTCTATAGAAGACACAGACTGGTTAGTATCATCATCATCTTCATGAGTAGTCTCAAGCTGGTGATTCTGATGCAAGTATGTATCCAGGGTATATCTTATACCAGTAGCATATTTACTTAGGAGACTAAAGATAAAATCAATTCTGGGTCTTGGTAATGTAGGTGACACTCTCATGACACAAAGCATTCCGGAATGATGACTCTTGGAAAAGAAGAAAAATGAGAAAAACAATTTTAATTTTATTTACCCTTTCTTTGTTTTGTTTTGTTTTTCTTCTGGTACCAGGAATCGAATTCATGACCTTGAGCTTGCCAGGCAGGCGCTTTGCCACTGAGCTAAATCCCTAGCCCCCAATTTAGTGATTTACACTTTTTTTTTTTTTGTTTTAACGATTTTAATTTTAAATGTGAAACTTATTATCTGAGAGAGGCCTTGAAATGAAACAGTCTCAGAGGAAAACAAAAATGCATACATCTTGAAAGCCGCCTTCATGGTTTTGCAATGTTTTATTTTTCCTCTACATTTCTCAATTCCTGGACTCTTTTTCTCTCATTTTCCTCTTACTTATGTCTTCAAATTCTACCTAGTCTATCTCCTTAAATGTTATGGAACCTACTATTTATTCATTTCCTCAGGCAATTCTGTTTTCTTATATAATTGTATAGTGTTGTGATTTGCCTTATCATTCACCTATCTCACCAACTGCTTTGTAAAGGGCTCAAGAACAGAAATCAGGTTCTGCTTTACTTTTTATCCCATTTTCCTATGGCTTCCAGGATGATCCTACCTTCCCTCCTACCACAATAAGAGAACTTTTACCTTTTGACTTAAATACCTTGCAGTAAAATTTCCAATAATGCTCATAGTTTTAATTAATAGAAGTCATCAAATTTCCCCCAAATACTATCTTTAAAAACACAAACACTAGGGGCTGGGGATTTAGCTCAGCGGCAAAAGCGCCTGCCTGGCATGCGCAAGGTCGTGAGTTTGGTTCCCGGTACCGGAGAAAAACGAAAAAAAAAAAAAAAAAACCAAACACAAACACTGACAAATGATTTATTTAAAAAGTAAAAACCAAATACAATAGCTAGCCACCCTTACATCCTAGCTAATAAAGCAAAATAAATATGAATGAAAAATATAAATAAGTCAAGCAGTCATATTTTTTTATCAACAGACCTTGTAAAGAACACAGCAGTATTTTACACTGAATAAGTAATACAAATTTTAATACATGTTTCATTTGTAAATGTCTTACCACATGAAACATACTACTTGCCTATCATGTATAATGACCTGGGTTCAATCTCCAGCACCATGATTAAGAAAGAAATCAGGCAATTTTTCTTTGCTATGTCATCAACAAATCATAGTAAGCTAGAAGCTGAATCGTATGAAGCTACCCAGCTATCTGGTAATATTTTACTTATAAATTTAAAATACATCTTCACATGTCCACTATACGTAGAAAAGTTTTAACCAGAAATGAGCTAAAGTGCATGCACTACAACATATAATATAGACCAGGCGTGGTGGGGCACGCCTGTAATCCCAGCACTTGGGAGGTTGAGGCAGGAGGATCTTTGCGAGTTCGAGGCAGCCTGAGCTACAAAGTGAGCTCAAGGCCAGCCTGAACTGCACAGCGAGACCCTGTTTCAAAAAAACAAAAACATAGAAGTTAAAGAAATCTAGAAATAATAAATTTTCATTAAAAATTAGTATGTCCTTGCATATTACTTATAAAACTTCAGAGAAAAAATTAATATATAAGCTCTGACCAAAATTCTCTGCATCAGGTATGTCAACACTATGAGTTAGATTTCTTAAGAGTCCTATTTACTTAACATAGCATTAAAAGAAAAAAATCATCCAAGCATTTAAAAGTTTAATACTCTTGAGTAAATGTAGTAAAATTTGTCCTGAAAAACTTCTTATTACCTGATTTCGAGGACCACTGTTGATATTTGATGATTTGTTTATATCTTTCATACAAATAATTTCATTTTCATTTAGACTGCAGAAGTGGAGTGAATTCAGAAGATCTGGAAGTTCCAAAGACACTGCCGCTAAATCCTAATTTAAAATAATAACAATAAATAACACTATAAAATCACACTTTTGTTAAGGTTCCTACAATGTGGTCTTCATCTGATAATCATTAAGGTCTGCTGGCCAATAAACGGACTCATAATAGTACACATATGCAGCACACATATAATATGCTGTACACATATTATCCAATGGCCACATATCATCTAACTCAAAAATTAAAAATTCTAAAAATTATTTAATATTACTATTCTTGTAGCCTTACAAATGTATTCCTATCAAATTATACAACACATTTTAACACGCTACCTCACATTCTATGACAATTATGCATTCAATTATTTTTAGCAAACATCAACCTCAGGTTTAACTCTGAAATTTTGCACATAGCTTTCATTCATTCTTAAGTACTGAATGCACTTTCTGAGAGCTTAAGTTTTAACTTTGCAAAAACAGGTCCATTTTTCTGCTTTTCCTTTTGAATGTATCGTTAATGTCTTCAACTGAAAACTTTATGAAAGTTAAAGGAAAGGAAGCTAGCTTTTGTTTTTTCATGTTTGCTCCTCTTACATAAATATTTTATCCAGGTAAAAAATTACGTAAGTCCTTGACCCTTTGAGAGAACTTTGCTTTGTAAAATAAATATAGTTTTATGGGTAAGGGTTAAAAAAGAGTATCAGAGAATTACTCTGGACCATTTCTCTTTCCAGCTATACATTCTCAGAAGTATGTGATCTTGATTCCTTGGTCTGAGCTTTTTCAGCTAAGGCACTCAAGACATGGAATAATGTAGTTTTCATTCATAATCACCTGATATGCAGTACGCAGAAAGAATAGAATAATGCTTTGTTTCCCCCTTCTGGGAGATGCTTTAGCATCACAAAAAGAAATATGTAGCAAATTTTCAAGCAGTAGCAGGAGGACACAAGCAGCACATCTACAGGACTTTTCACCACATCTGATGTAGCTGTGAAACTTTCCTCTGTTGATTCTAATCTCAAATAGTCCCTCTATAAATGCCTAAATCAAACAGGCTAAAATTTTGGTTAATGATAACTTTTTACAAATTTTATCTTTGATATTTAACTCTACCCCAACTAAAATCTACGAACTGTTACTGTTAAAGTCAAATTATGAAAACCATCAAAATAAAAGAAACAAGCATGACATTCCATAGGATGCAGAGAATGCAGAAAAAGCCTGTGGTTTGCAACCTTCTCAGATACCTAGTAATTTTTCCTAGAACAAGGATTTTCAGTAAAAACAGTAAAAGTGAAAATGTCCAAAGCACACGCAAAAGATGACTTCAAGTCACCTTTGAACATTAAAAAGAAAAGATAAAACAGACATATAGGGTTAATTTGGGCCATTATGGTACATTTTTCATGGTCTCAAAATCTGGGCTGAAGGGAGAGGAGGAGAATGGGGAAAAAGAGAATCAAGATATAACATGTACAAGTACAAATTCCCTATGATGAATGTGATCATTACGTGTATCAAAACTGTACCAATAAAATTAATAAAAAAATCTGTTCCAGATAATCCCTTATAGCCCTTTCCAATTTGATAAACTGACTGTACCTGTATATGAGCAGCATCTGTTTCTTCATTAAAACCCAGAAATGTGACCTGAATAATAAAGGAATAAAACTCTATTAACTTGAGTTTTGAAGTCTTAACTCAGATTTTTGACAGAACTGAGAAATAGAAAAAAAGCACAATAAGGCATTAAAATGCTGACTACCTTGCACAAGGCAATATTCTCAAAGATGGAAAGTTTTTCACCAAGATCTGGCTCTATAATGCAGCTTTGATCCTCATTCACATCTTCCTCACTAGCATTTCAAATACATCCACTTCTCTCCATTTCTCCTGTCTCCTCTTCTCATTGGCACTATTACAATCTCTTCCAGGTAATCCCACTGTCATGCCACTACCCTGTGCAAACGCCTCCGGGCTTCCCAGGGGAAATTCCTAAGTGGGGTTTAGCTGATGTGCCTTCAACCTTCCCTCACGTTCACTGAAACATATGGGCCCTTGCCAACTCTAGAACATAGCCTGCACATTTTTGCCCAAGGATCTCAAAGTTGAGCCCCTCAATCTGGATCTGTCTTCCATGGATGTTTTCACGCCCTTATTCATTTTTCAAGTCAAGTCGAATGCCAGCCACATTCTCTCTGGGAAGACCCATCTTTGTCTATGATACTACTATTTACTTCCTTTAACACACTCATAGAGTTTACTCACAGAAATTTATAGAAATTGTATTTCTAAGGAATATTTAACAGCAAGAGGAATGTTACATACATTATTAAGTAAAAAGGACAAGTTATGAAAAACAATATGCACACAATTTCAACATTATTTTTTAAAATCTGCATAAAAATAATATTGGAAAACAATACTCAAAACTATTAACAGTGATTAACTCAATGGTGGAATCACAGCTTGAAATGCCACTGCTTTGGTACTCAATTTGGTAAAAAATTTGGTACACAGTTTTGTCCTGATACTCGTCATTTGGTACTAGATGTACAAGTTAGAACTTGGTGTGAATTGCCTTGTGACTTGCAACCCATTCCAGCAAAACAATCTGTATGATACTCATCGTTTTTGGTCCTTGCCACATACTTCCTGAAATCAATTAATGACAAGTACCAAGGTAACACTGTATATGTGATCTTATTTTTTTCATCTGAGCCTTTAATTTCTAATTCATAATTTTATATACACATATCACATTTTTATACTTTTTGTATTTCTCATTTTTCTACAAAGTATATGTGTTACTTTCACAAATTGAAAATGGTATTATTTTAAAAATTTACAGCTGGGCATGGTGGCACATGCCTATAATCCCAGCACTCGGGAGGCTGAGGCAGGACGATTGTTGAGAGTTCAAGGCCATCCTGAGCTACAAAGTCAGTTCAAGGCCAGCCTGAACTGAATAGTGAGACCCTGTCTTGAAAATACAAAAAAAAAATTTATAATTTAGTCTTTATCATCACAGAATTTTTTTCAACTTGACAGAACAGTAAACTATTAAGCAAGTACTATGGCTGAAAACACACAATAGTTAAATGATAGCAATATAAATAATCAGTTGTCAAGAATGAGGAGGGTTATAGCAGAGTTAAAATATAAATCAACACTGAATACACTTTTGATCTTTTTCTGATTGAGAAACAAGCCAGAGTTTAAACTACCCTGGGATTTTTATTCTAATTGATTATGGTTATCAACTCAGAGAAGGGTTAACTTCCAGGCATCTAACGTAAAAGGTTAACCTCTAGGAGATTTACTTCTGCATCTATAAAACTTTGGGCAATAAAACTCACTCTGACACACAGAAGCACTCAATAAGAAATGAGTATTATATCAAATAACAATTTTTTTCCTTTCTTCAAACAGAGACTTTGAGATAAGCATACCCTAAAGTGGAACAGAAATTCCTGTAGAAGTCTTTCAAGTTTCCTTTACTTAACACAAAAGAAAAAATAAGCTGGCATGGGGTGCTGAAGACACCAGGAAAGTATTCCATTGTCTACTAATCAAGAAAGGTTTCATCAGTGCATGTGAGCTTGCACAGACATATAAGCAGCTGAGAAAACTGTTGAGAACAAAGCAAAGGAGACTTGTAACACTTGCCAACAAATAATGGATTAAGAGTGGCTCAACTTTATTAAAATAAACAGGAACATCAAAAAAGGTAAGTCAAGAACCACAGAAACTGAGCAGATGCAAAAAAAAGGTGCAGGTAGCAAAACAATACACACCCCAAAAGTATTTTCATTTTCCTACAAAACACAATCGTGGAGAATTTCTCAAGGATTGTGAAACAAAATCATTCCCCAGAATAAGAATAATCAAGGTTTTTATTAGAACCCTCATTTCAAAAAAAATTTACCTTAACATATGCTTTAGTTTTAAGCTTCAAAGACCCAACACCATATGACTATAGATACATAATTTTTTAAATGCTACTCTTTTTCATAGTAACAAATTTAAACAAAGGCTAGAAACACTAGATATAACAGAGAAATAGTTGAGCATGCTGTATATCTTATCCTCAAGTAACGGAGGAAACACCTTCAAAGATAAATTTATCACTACCTTCCCATTTGAATGAAAGTAACTTTTATTACTGTTATCCATGAAAACAAGTAACTCAAAAAAAAAAGGAAATTTTTTTTAATGTTTCAGAGTAGAAGAGTGAAGAGTGCTGTATGTTCAATAAGCAGTCAGTAACATTTATGTACATAATATGCTCATTATATTAGGACAATTATGTTAGCCAGTATTTAACATGTGTCTTACACACATACATTAAAATACATTATGCTTTATTACAAAAAGGTTTTAGAAAGTAAAGTCCAACCTCAGTTAATTTTGCATGTTCGTCCTGCTTTAAACAGTCCTCGACTGATATACTGCACAGTTCCTTCTCACTCTGTAATAAAGACTTTACAGACTGGAACACATCTTCACTGAAGCTCTGCAGTAGGAGAAAAAGACATTCTTAATTTATTTAATTCTGTTTTTTTTTTAATTTATTTAATTCTAAGACAAGGTAAGAGATCCTGCATATATTTTAGTTTTGGATGAAAAGCCACTCATTCTCCAACTGATATTCCCTTGCTATCTTTTGACACTGTTTGGAGAACTCAATTCAGCCAAGAAGAAAAGTTCCATTCAGGTGAAAAGGCTAAGTAAGAGTTCCTTGTGCCCAGAACACATGACTATACCAGAGACTAGGCACTAAGCTCACTGGAAGACCAGTCAGGACCCTCAATAAGCCATAGATTTGCTTATTCTTAAGATAAAACTACTATTACATATCTGATTTCCAAGTCACTGACAGAACAGAGGGAACAATTTATCTAATGAGTAAAATAATGTGAGAGCTACATAGTGAAACTAACAAAAGTGATTATTTGCTCAACAAAGTTAGAGGCAGAAAAAGAGAGGCTCAAAATAAGGGTTTTTGGGGAGAGGTTCTATAGACAACTGTATCTGAAAATAAGGACTTCTGGATTTCGGGAAAGGGGCTGTCTCAAGAATAAAGGACTAGAGGGAAGAATTCCCATAAAGAAAATGACTATCACTGTTGAATATTAACTTCCTTTTACCTTACTTACTCCCCCTCCTTTGATTTGATCATGTGTTCCTTGATCACAAATGTCCTGGATCATTTCTTTTTTTTTTTTTTTTTTTTTTGGTTTTTTGGTTTTTCTCCGGTACCGGGAACCGAACTCACGACCTTGCGCTTGCCAGGCAGGCGCTTTGCCGCTGAGCTAAATCCCCAGCTCCCCTCCTGGATCATTTCAAAAGGGTCAGCTTGAAGGAATTCCTCCTGGCCAATTTTGAGACACTCAGACATCAAAAAGAATAAAAATGGAAAGTATTACAACTGCTCATGGAGCACTCTACCCACAGCACTAGCTGACAAGTATTGAGTAGAATGACTAAATTAGAAAATCTCATTTGTAACTCCAAACGTAACTACTGACTTAGAAAAGAACCATCAATGTATCCTAAACCTAGCAGGTTAAAAGCTATTGGGGAACAGTATACTCATACCATCACAAACTATCTAATAAGTTTATTAACCTTATAATTACAAAGAACTATGTGCGTTTGTATTGGAGATATGTGATGGCTATAATCTTGGCCACCTGGTAAAGCATAAAATTAATGCAGAGTCATCTTTAAGGTGTTCCTGCTGAATCTAATTACAGAGAAAACAGATGAACACAGAAGATGGAGATGTTCTACAGGACAACTAGCCTAGACTCTTCCAAAGATTTGCTGTCGTGAGAACAGAATTTAAACTATTAAGGTCTAGAATGAAGGAGATCAAAGAAACAAAGTACTAAATGCAGTATAAGCAGCCGGACGTGGTGGTGCATGCCTGTAATCCCAGCACTCGGGAGGCTGAGGCAGAAGGATCATTGAGAGTTCAAGATCAGCCTGGGCTACAAAGTGAGCTCAAGGCCAGCCTGAACTGCATAGGGAGACCCTGTCTCAAAAAGACAAAAAAAAAAAAGCAGTATATGAACCTTCACTGGATCCTAGATGAGAGGCAAAGAAAGTTACCAGGACATTTGGGACAATCAGGAAAATCTATGTATGGATGGCATATTGGACGGTGTTACTGAGTTAATTATTTTCTTAGGAAATGGTGCTGACATATTGAAAAATATCTGTAGGACTGCTCTCACACAACTGCAAAAGGAAAATGTGTATGTGGGTGTGTATATACAGAGAGGGGTAAAAAAAAAAAAAAAAGGGATGGCAAAACATTAACAAAGGGTGAACCTAAGTAAAGAATATGAGATATTCATTGTACAACTGGGTTTTACCCCAACTATTCTATGGTCCTGAAAATGTCAATACTTAAATAATCTGTTTTCATTAATGAATAGAGGTTTTCATGATTATTTATGGACGCATAATCAAACCAAAATATATAAAATGTGAAATATGAACTTGAGCTATCAATATAAATTCATGACACTGTATAGCACAGAGCATTCCCAGTAGTCAGGTCTTGGTTTCTAAATACTTTTCAGGCTTCTTTGAAAAAATAGCCCATTTCAGGGCTGAGAAAGGGAAAATAGGTCAAACCTCGTCATCCTTACCAAAGAGGTAAAACCTGAAAGCAAGAAAGCAATTGGGAAATTACATGCTAACAATCTGGAGACAATTTGACCAATTTCAAATACATAAGTGAACAAATGGATGGATGGATGAATAAGTAAGTGAATCACTATAAATAAATGATTGTAAAATACAGAACTGTAAAAACACAGCTGGCACACATCTGTAATACCAGTTACTTGGGAGAATAAGGCAGGAGGACTGCAAGTTAGAAGCCTGGCCAACTTAGCAAGACCTTGTCTCCAATTAAAATTTTAAAAAGAGCTTGGGATGAAACTTGGTGCTCAAAAGCTTAGCTAAAACGCGTGATGCCCTGGATTTAATCCCTAGTGCCAAGGGGAAAAGCCAAAATTTGTGAGTCCAAAGCAATATAAATAAAAGAAAATAAATTCACTTGTCATCACTAAAAGTGACTATAATCCAAGTCATTAATCTAAAAATTGGTAACCAAAAAACACTGGCCCTTTCCTTATCCACTTCACATGAATTATCTTGTCCCTTTCGGGTATTACCACAATACAGAAGATAGCTATCATCAGAGAAGGAAAGCAAGAAAAACACTGCAATGAAAGTCAAAGACTGTCTTACAGGTAAAGTCTGGTCAGCAATGTCCAGCCCAAGAAGATGAAGGCCAGAAAAAAGAAGAATAAAGTCTGCTAACCATCCTCCAGTCTCTATTCTTCTCTTCTTCAAGTAATGCTCCAAATTGTTACCAAAATCACAATGGCAACAAACAGAAGGTTAACTAGATTATTCCAGGGTTTTGTTTTGTTTTGATTGGGGTACTGGAGCACTGAGCTGCATACCAGCTCCTTTTTGTTTTATTTTTGAGACAGGGTCTTGCCAAGTTGCTAACTTGCTCAGGCTGCATTTCAATTTGGGATCCTCCTGCCTCAGCCTCCCACAGTGCTAGAATTACAGGCATACACCACCATGCTCAGCTCCAACTTGTTTTAGAGGGGAAAGAAGGGGCTCTTCCTCAGATTAGAAAGAAGAAAGGATTAACAACTGTATTTCATTTTCTTACTAATTACCCAACATCTAGCACAGGGCTTATTAAGTAGCGCTTAATTTTGTACTTGCTAAATGAATATAGTATAGTGTTTCTTACAAACCTTTACAGTAAAGCTCAAGGCATATAAAAAAAGACTCATTTAAAACTAAATGCCATAGCAATAGGAATTTTAACAAAACTATCAACAACTATATCAAAACGCTTATAAAATGGAACAAAATATAGTGAACCTACTTTTCTGACAGATGCTCTTGGCTTCACACGACTGTTTCTGAAAGTCTGGAAAGTCGCCATAACTATGTTAATTTTGATTGCAATCACTGAAGAACAGATGCACAAAACACCTAAAGAAAACATATTAAAAAGGAAAAATTTTTTAGTCTTAGTATTTCAGGCAGGTATTTTGTTAAACAGTTTCATTAAACTCAGTCATTTAAAGAAAAATGAAAAAAATTGATTCCTAAAAATTATCAATCCAATGTATTTTTGAAAAATAGGCAAATACTGGTACCTTAGTGAGATATAAAAGCATTACAATAATCTTATTTTTAGGTTCAAAATTATAGTTTACCCTTTTCTGTATAACCTCACCACGCTCTTTTAATTGCAAAGCCTAAGTAAGAATTATCTGCAGTCTTTTTTTTTTTTTTTTTGGTTTTTGTTTTTTTCTCCGGTACCGGGAACCGAACTCACGACCTTGCGCTTGCCAGGCAGACGCTTTTTGCCGCTGAGCTAAATCCCCAGCCCCTCTGCAGTCTTTTTAAATCTTAAATACAGTAATAAAAAAGAAACCCAGCTTTCCTGCCTCTAGTCATTTCTTATCTCCATAGTAACAATAAGTGCAACAGACACTGCACAGAGGGATAATACACAAGTGATAATATAAAATGTTTACATATAAAATTAGATGAATAAAAATGAATTCCTTATATAGAAGTTTAAGAGCAACCAATGACTAGAGATCACATCAGGTTAAATGATTAATAGCACTTAACTACACCCCTCAGGAAAAATTCTGAAACTAAATCTTAACTTTTTAATAACAATTTAGTTGAAACCTTTGAGAATTTAAATTAACTCAGGACATTAACCATTCAATCTATATTTGACTGCAGAATATCATCCATTCACTTAAGACCTACTCATGCTACACGCTAGAAGACAGTAACAGCCCTCTTGGGTTTGAAGACTTCCAGAGAAAAAGTTTTATTGAAGAATAGCCACGGGGGACTGAATTTTAAATAACAAAAAAACTGAATCAATAAAAATTTAAGAAATACTTAGCTTCAAGTATTTCAGTAAATTAAGCTGGTCTTATTAAGGCTTGCCTATGTCAGGTTTCTAAAACATTTGGTTAATAGGAATTTACACTATGAAGAGATTTATATGCAAACAATTCAATCCAGCCCCCCTTCAGAATTTCAAAAACTGAATTTTTTTTTAGTGAAGTTCTAATCTTATATTCTTTCACTAGAGGGGTAAAAGTGTGTGACTGCACTTCATATATGCACCCTTCTCCTCTAGAGTCCTAGATTTTAATACTTAGAAAAAAATTATAATGTTACTCTGTTCTGAACTAAGGTCAAGTCCTAACAGTCTTATGTAACAATAAAAGTTTGGTTACTGAAACTGAAGCGGGTAAAGGAACTGCATAACACACACACACACAAACACACACACACAAATCATTCCACAGACTGCTCACATCCCTGTTCTACCTCTTACAAGTTTGTTTCCTCTAGGTAATCACAATGTTTCTGAATCTGTTTCCTTAATTAATAGATATGATGTCCTAATTACTGAACAGGTTTATTGTGAGAACCAAATGGAAAATAATGTATGGTAGGCATTTGGGAAAGTACAAAATATGCACAAGAGAAAAATTAAAATACTTACACATGGACCAAAATGATCAAGAGGAACAAAATTACCAAAACAAGGTTTGAGCATAAGAGTTTATGTGGATAAACCAACGGGATAATCCTTTCATTTGTCCCAGGCCAATTTACTCTAAATTATTTCCACAGCATTCTCAAACTACCAGAAACCTTCAGAGGCAAATGGACTTGCCCAAAAGTCACAGAAAATATATAATATATAGGCCAACATAAAGGTTCCAGAAAACCAGACACTCTCAAAGTCAGCTTCTGAGTAAAGTGGCGTTGCCTTGCTAGAAGACAATTTTGTAATGTATGTCAAAGCTCTGAGTATCTTCCTACCCTTTGCCCCATCAAGTGTACCTTTGGGAATCTGTAAAAGCAAAAATTGATCCTGAAGCATCCAAGGTTCTAAATTAAAGCACATAAGGAATAAGAGCTAGCTGAGATATTTAACATCTTATTGTATCCTCTAGTTTTACAATTAGAAAAACTGAGGCATGGAAAGTTAAGCAATTCACCCAAACCTACACAATAAATGGCAGAGCTGATACTAAAATCTACATTTACTAACTCTGGTACTGCGGAGCTCTTAAGCACTCCTCTCCAGTATATCAAGGTTTGAGATACTGTTCATCACGCTTCATAATAGAAATAAAAACAATCTAGATGCCAGAAGCAGGAGTGATGAAACAGCTGTTAGATCATTCCCACAATGAGGCCATGGCAAACATGAAAAACAACACTGAAGGACAGAAGGATGGTACACATAACACCTTTACAGAGTGGACTGCTAACCTTCCCTGAAGGGGTGGGGAGTTGGGGAAAAGGGATGGGAAACAGTAATTATCTTCACAGCTGCTGACTACAGTCATTCTAATCAAAGGTAAACACTACCTCACAGCATAAAACTAGTTATCTGAGATGAGCTGCCCACCCTAAGCTGTGATGTGTTGAGGGGAGTGGCTGACTGCTGAGAAAACACCCTGGCTGCAACCAGGGACCCCAATTTACTTTACCCACAGTTTTCAAGGCTGAGATATAGAATCCAATATGGGAACTATAAAACATTTACAAACAAACACAAAAGAATACATGCAAAAGGAAAAAAAAATCCAGACAAATCATATCCTCCCTAACTTACAATATCTAATAGTACCTCAGAAGTTGTATCACTTTTTAAAATTAATAAGGATGGAAGATTAGTTCCACATTTACAATGTGCTTCAATCATGGAAGAAGAACGATTTACTCAGCCATACTCCACCACTTTATGTTTAAGGTAAAATAGTGTCTCACAAAGAACATCTACCAGGAAATATCTGTGCAACATAAAAGTGAATCCAATACAAGATGATATGGCATACTTCTGGTAAAACAGAGCCGAGAATCATCTTTAGAAATAACGTACACAGGCAGGGGGTGGTGTTGGGGAGGAAGATGAAAAGTGCTTGATGCAGGCCTTTCTCATCATACAGAATTAGAAAGAATGTAGTTTTCAGATTGCTCAAGAAAAGCAAAAATATACTATTTTCCCCAAAATACCTTTGTATTATAATACACTTTTCACTTAATCCTTGTTTGTTTTGTGCCCTATTGTGGGTAAATAAAAAAGAATTCTAAGCAGCGTGTTGTAAGAGAAGAAATGAAGTAAACCTAGACTTGGGGGGAAACAAAAGCAGATGAGAGACAAGAAAGTACACACGAACAAAGCAAACACCTGAAAAGCGAGCTGCTAGAGCTCAAGGGAGACACAGAAAATCATTACCTCAAAAATTCTACTGAAAAAAAGAAAGTTCTATGGCATTCTCTTAGTTATTACCCAGCTGTTGGAAAGAGTAAGTTCCAATAATACACACTAGTGTGAAAAAGTAAGTTTGCAAAATTGTATAATCAGGTGTATATAGAATCTGGATATCTAGATTTTGAGCACTATGTATGCAATGTCTGACTGAGAAATACTTTATTTCTCTGACCATTATATTGGTCTCCTTCCCTCAATTATTTCCTAACTACTTAATTCAAACATTAGTATTTCCTTACTTCATCCCTGTCTTTTAATTTTTCATTCCATTTAGTTTTCCAAAGACAATTTACTTCTACCCTTGCTTTTAACTATGCAAATACAGTTACTTGATAATTTATATTTTCCGTTCAGTTCTGTACTTGAGTTTCTTATATCCAATACCCTATTAAACACTTCCGACTAAATACCCTGCTAGGGATAATATCAATGGTTAGAGGTTCACAGGCTGGAGGTTTGGTCACCAGTACAACAATGTTAGGAGGAAGTGTGACTTGAGAGCTGAAGCCTAGTGGGAGGTAATTCAGCCTTGCAGCACTATCCACACGAACAGATTCACAATGTCCTGTGGTAGTTCTGGCATTCGCAGAACTAAATTAGCACTCCAAGGACATGTTTTATAAAGTGTGCCTGTCCCTCCCTGTACTCCAGCTTCCTGTCCCACCGAGTGATTGCTTCCTCTCATGCACACAATCTTCCCATGATGTCATCCACCATGCTGCGATATATGCAGAAGGTCATCACCCAAGGCTCAGCAGATAGGCCTGCCCATTCTTAGGCTTTTGGCCTCTAAAGCTGTGAGATAAATAAATCTCTTTTCTGTATAAAGTACCTAGCCCAGTGATAGAGAACCTTTTAAAGACCAAGTCCCCAAACTTCAACCCAAAGCCCAATTATTTATTACAAAGTGCCAACACTGCAGTTAAACCAAATACTGAAATTTTAGTTTAGAAAAAAACAGTTCATACAGCATAACACCTCTTTTCTTAGAAGAAATACACAGTAACAGTTCACCACCTCTGACTTAGCCTGAAGTACTATATATTGTTATACCAACCAAAAAGCCACTAAGACAAGCCCAGGTACTTCAAGATTAGTATGTTCACATACGAATGAAACTTACTCCCTAAACAATCTTCTCCTATATTCATTATCTCAGTAAGGGCCAATAAACCAACTCCAAAGAGAAAGCCAAGCTGGAAACTGGCCTTTCCCTCAATCCCTACAATCATAACTAGTAAATTACTGAGTCCTAATCTGTCATGGTCTAAAGTTCCCTCAAATTCACCCTCTCACTTCTATCAACTACTTACACTTCACACATACACTCTAGGATCTCTGTCTTTGAGAAAGGCTTAACTCATCCCTCCTTGCCCAACTAATAATTACTTCTTTTATGGCCCTGAAGTGGTATGTCCTTTAATTCTTTGGTACAATTGTTAGCATACTTTACTCTAGTGAATTCCTTGCAGGCAAATACACTTACTACATATTTGTGTTCTAAAATAGTAGGCAAAGCTTATTAAAGGCATTCAAACACTTACTGAAAAATGTCATTTTAAAGACCAAACTATGCCACAATAACAAAGCCTAAAACCCTCAAAATAATCCATAAACTCCAAATAATCTGTGTACTCCAGCTAAATTCAACACTTGAGGATTA